TGATGATCTTAGAGGTCTTTTCCAACCCAAAGGATTCTATGTGCACCAAACCTGTGAGCATCTCAGGAAAGAAAACCAAACACACACTCTCAGGCAACAGTCCAAGACAGAATTAGTGGCAGGAGGCGAAGCAGAACCACAACAGTCACAATGTAAAGTTTTCGGTCCCTGGAGTTGCTCCACTTTGTACCAGAATTATTTGGGTAACGCCTGGCGGCTGCTCTTGCAGGGGAGCATCATGCCAACACAAGCTGAAAACACAGCAAGAGATTTCCTACCTCCGTGTCATCTTCTTTCTTCCTCTTGTTGACAGAGCCTCCGCCTTCCTCATCCTCTTCCTCCTCCTCCTCTTCTTCAATAATACCCTCCACTATGGCTTTAGGACATTCAGGACTGGCAGCCCCTTCGCACCTGTGAAAACAAAACCAGAAGCTGATTCCCTGTCAAAACAAAAAAAACCCAACAGGTTTTAACCCAAAGTGTTCAGCAATTTCTCAAACGCTGTCTGAAAACAATCCCCTCCAGCTTAAGTGCCGCTGTGGATGAAAGATCAGAGTCATGATCAGCCGTGGGGCCGAGTGCCTCTGCAGCCCGTGTATCCCAGTGCAAATATAAATGCAAGCAGCTACTCAGAGGAGGCAGAAGTGGTCAAACAATCAACACCAGCTTTTCTTCAAAGACTATGAGACATTTGTAGAGGCTCCAGGTATGCCAAGGATTAGAGCGGCACAAGGAGGTCACTCTCATCCCTCCAAACCCACCTCAGATCACTCCCAAAACGCAACAGATAATTCCAAAATTTCTAAAAGGACGTGAAAGACACCATGCCCAGACGGCCAACCCGATTTAGGGCAACATTTCTGAAGGGGCATCAGACTAACGCTGATTACTGAACGCGTGCAGAAAGGCAGACAAACCAAGGAATACACAACCAGCAGTAGTTCAACTTTTGAAAACACAGCTCTTGGCGGATTTTGCCCCAGGGAACTTTTGGCCAGGTGTTCTCCAAGGGCCATGACTACGATTCAGTGCTGCTGCTGGTATCAACTGTGATCAAATTATAAGAAATTTGTATTTGCTAGAAGAAATTTTCACTTTCAAGTGCGTTTACGCTCTGTAGTAACAGTATCGCAAAACAGACAAGATGATCTTAAGAGCTAAAAAAAACCCAACCAAACAAACCAAAAACCACCTACTGTTTGACTTGACCGACCATAGAGACTCTGGCAGATTCAAGATTTCTTATTTGTCCACTTTTTACACTAGGGAAAAAAAAGAATAAATCAGAAGGAGGGCAAAAATATTTACTAAACAGATGCAGGAACTTGCAGGCCCAGAAACAGGAGCAAAACCCCTTTACAGCTCACGATTTCCCCAAACCATTCCCAAACACCCTGTTCTCAGGAGGAGAGGCTCAGATCACATGTCAACTTGCCTGAACACCCCCTCCCCGTTGGGACTGTACCTGTGAATTTCCGTGGGAGAAGTGCTGGTGGGGAAACAGCAGAACAGGGTTATACCCACGTCATGGCTGGGGACGGGGAGAGGTCAGAAACTACGTGGGTATTTGGCAGGAGAACTGGCCTTTCTGTAGCCCAACCTACAAACTCGGCCACAAGGCCTCTCCCTGTCAAACTCGGCTGCCAAAGGTCTAAGTAATTGTTGCTGAATCGGAAATAAATCCTGTTTCTTACACAAGCTGCTTCCGTAATAGTCGGGACACATACAAGGAAGCTGCAATTCATACCATGAAGCTTTCCATTAGCTGAAACTCTTAAGAGGATCCCTCTCCATTGCCTAGCCAACTCTCCCAGGACATTAATTATCTTTGAGACCTCTCTCTCCCTGTCAAACCATCCATGGAACTGGCAACAATAGTTGGGGAAGCGAGCACGAAAGGAGAAAACAGACAAAAACTTCGCTTCCTTCGGAAGTCAAGCTAAAAGAGACGAGTGATTTCGGAGACTACACAAGCCCATGCGTGCATTACCTCCACTCAATGGCATTCTCAAGCGACTTGAATGTTTTGGGACGACTCCTTAGGAAGTTCTGCATGCTGTTCAACGCGTCCATGGCTGTACCTAAAACCAAGTTTTTAACTTTACGGCATCTGACGTTACTGCCGCCTCCCTCTATACAGAACTGGCTACCAGGGAACACCCTCAGAGAGCGCTGGAGCTCACTGGGGAGTTAATGCTGTTAAGGGAAGCACAGCTTAGTACCCCTAAGCCCCCAGTCACACCTGCTCCCACGTTAGAGAATTAGTATTTGAACAGGCAGGACATTGAGATAGCGAGAGAAGGCAGTAACCACTCAACAGCAGCATGCATTATACAAGATCCACCCTCCTCCCTGCTAACAAGAAAGTATCGCAAAGAAATTACCAGGAAAATGGCAAACAGAGCCCATCTGGGAAAAGCAAAAGGAAAGACTTTTGCGTAGGTAGCATCTGTTAGGAGGATGGAATCGGCATTGGTTTAAAAACCAGGCACAACTTTCTGCATTCAGGGATTTGGGGATAAAAGAAAAAAAAAAGATGAACGTGGAAGACGGGGCCCCAGCCAAGGGTACACACTCTTACCTTCCACCACATCGATCATGCACAGACCCAGCAAGCTGGGCACCAAATTTGCCACCGCCGTGTGCACGGCGATGGCGCCCCCCATGCTGTGCCCGATCAGCATGATAGGGGGAGGCAGGTCCCCGTACAGAGCTTCCACCACGTTTCCAACGTCTCTGCCAAACGGAGAGAAAAGCACCGTCGGTGTCTCCACAGTTCTGAAGCAGACGTGTACAATGGGAGGAGAAAGGACAGATCCAAGGGAGATGTCCGGCTCCAAACCCTGTCCGCACGCTCCTGAACCCACAGGTAACTGAGACAAGTTTATTCTCTCATCACTGTTTCGTCTAGGTACCAATCCAGGAAATCATTCAGGCCAATACTTCCCTCCACAAGCATGTCATTTCCATTATTATTAACAGAAATTGCTCATTTAAAAGAAATCCCTGAAGAGAATATTTTACATTGACATTAGCTGGTGGGAATTTTAAACCCAAGGTGAGAAAAAGCTGTCAAATCCTCTTGGCACGGAAGCCTAGACTAAGATAATTCCCCATTCTGAAAGGAGAAACTGTTTGCATGTAAAGAGAGAAAAGAACTGAGCCCTACTGACCAAAGATAAACAACACTGAGCGCAAGCAAAGAGGTTCAGACTCTCTCTGAGCACAGGTACTACAAGGCAAGGGGCAATTTCCCTGTCCTTTCCATAAGGCACCTGCTGTAAACTGAAGCTGTCACTGCAGAATGTGAAAGCTGTTCACCAAAACAACAGCAGGGCTCATGACTGAAATCCACTGAAGAGCACTGCAGCTTAAGCCACCCAAACTGGCTTTCCTAACTAAAATGGCTCAGAGGAATCGGAGACCTGAGCAGTACCGCAACTAGAAAAGGGAAAACAAGTCAAAAACCAAAAAGGTTGACCAGCTTGTTCGCTCTGTCAGAGAAAACTGCTTGAGGGTTTGATTAAAAACCCACCGAAACCCAGCTGTAATTTCAGGCTCCCGTTTAAAGGCTCTTCAGAAATAACTTGCAAGTTCATTGCTAAGAGGAGAGAAGGGTTTAAAAACAAAAGGAGCTTGTTTCTACACATCCCCCCCCTCACGGGAGTGCTGCTCCAGATCTAAAATATTCTAACCATGTCATACAGCATCTCCTCAGGACAATAACTCACCAGGACCACAGAATCACAAGCCATAAGCAGTGGCAATAAGGTACACAATGGAAGTCAGAATACATTTCACACATGGCCTCCCCACAACAAACCAAGTGGATTTGTTCCTGCGAAGGTTACAAAATCCTTCGGGATTCCATTGCGGTCAGAGCAAAGAACCTTTTTGTACTAAACGTGGACATAACGCCATGGGCTTAGCAGTGGGTATTTGCTTTCCTTACGGCTTTGTCAAGAGGGGGATTTGCATCCCAAAGCAGGTCGTGATCGTTTGAAAAAAAGCAACTCCCTCAGGGCTCGGAAGCCTCAGCCTGTGCCCCACGCTTTGGGGGACGCCACCGCTTGCCTGAGGAGCCGAGGGAGAACCAAAGTGGTGATTTCCAGCTAAACTGCCCCAGTTACCCCCGAGGAAAGCGCTCCCCTTCTGCGAGGAAACCTCTAGGAAGCGTCACAGCGTGCGGCAGGTTCGCAGCGCTCACTGGAAGGGCGCCCCTGATCTTTCAAGCGAGTTTAAGAACTGAGGGCACCTACAGAACGACTCCAGTTTGGAATCCGACTCAGCTAGAAGAGGTTAGCATTTCAAATAAATTCCAAACTGGCCCAAAACGGAAGGAAAAGAAGGGACAACTAGCAGAATAATGTAAAATGAAACTATCTGGCTGCCTTGAATGACAGCTGCGTGTCCTCCACTCGTTTATGGTTCACCCACGGAAAGGAAACTCAGGTTTGTGAAAAGTGAAATGCTGAAGACAGCACGTCAGCTTCCTTACTTTGACATAGTCTCTGCAGACAGATCTTCAGGATTCCTCACTTTTGTTTCTCCTGGAAGAACAAAAAAAAAAAAACACCAAAAAAACCAGTAAAGTTTACGTAAGCTGGAAACCTTCAGTCCCCTCAGGAACGAGAGCAGCAACTGCACGAAGCCTTTGGCACAGTTCCGGAGAGCGAGCCTACTGCAGTTAACATGAATAATTGAGAAACCCAGAATTAATAGGAACGGTTGGTACTTTATCGTGTTACAGCTTACGGGCAGGAAAGGCTCCCCATAACTGTTCCATTTTTGCAATGTATCTTACAACTAAAGAACAGACCTTATTTCTAAAGGTAAAGACCACCTACAGGTAATGAAAATACGAAGGAACTTCGTATTGGTGCCAGCACGTAGGAGGGAACAAGTCCACCGCTGCCCCGCACAAAGGGGCGGGAGGTCTCAGCTTCTGGCACCTGAGGGCAAGTGGCTGCAGAGCTCCAGAAGCCACTTTTCCATCCCTTGCTTTTGAATAAAAGCCTTAAGGACGCTTTCTTAGTCACCTTGGGAGCGATTCATCACATCATCTTTAAAAAAACCCCACGTAACCTGCTTATGTGATTTTAAATCGAATTTCTTTTACTTACCATGGCCCCGGAGATCTAACGCCACAATCCTACACTGAATCCTGTTAATGATTGCAGACTGCAAGGAGGAACAGAGACAAGACAATTTGCAAAGTGCCACACCTCATCTCAAAAAGGATTAGCGGCCTTCAGCGCTGCCTGAAACAGCAGCAAAGGCTCGGACGGTGCGACGAGAACCCTCCCCTGCCAACAAAACGCTGCACCTGGATGGCAGGAGGTGTTACCGAAAGCAAGCAAGAATATTCCCGATAAACCACCCTTAACCAACCAAAGCTCCACCCTTTCTACCATTGTTAACGCTGTCTCCGAGGACAGTTACTTCCCAGTTATGTGTGTTTCCCAGAATAACGAACTCAAGCTCTGAAAACTGAAACGCAGCAGCGGGGTTACAGACACTGAAGTAATGCTCCCCCTTCCCCGAGGCCCACGTGTTACAAAATCAGCCTTGGCGAAACAGCAGACCCGAGGATGAAGCAGCTGCTTTGCAGCACACGTGCCAATTTGCTCTCAAAGAACAGAATTTTATAGTGAGGCTGAAATGCACAAAAATTGATTAGTTCAAAGGGGCCAGAGGGAACAAGCGAGTAATCTTTTTTAAAGTAAGGACAAACATGGCTCTGTTTGTCCCTGACAGCTCGATTCACCCAAATTTCAGGCATCAAAGTGATTAAATGGCACTCTTTGTCGAAAGGAAGACTCTAGCGTTAAGGAACTATCGATTATTTAAATAACAGCCCTGCAGGAGCGGGGGAATTTGTTGAGGGATTCTTAATAGAACCACCTACACAATGGGCAGAGATCTGGAAGCTGCCCAGTCCTCATATTTTGTTCAGCTCCAACGTGGCTCTAGCAGTTGTTCTCCCAAAAAACACTGAATCCACAAGCTAATGTTTTAGAGCCCCTACAAACACCCCGAAACCCCAACCTGCCAGGTGCTTTATGCACCTACGCAATAAGTTAACTCGTCAGGGGAGCAGTCTGCCGCTAAAAACCAAACTATTGTCAGCAGGGAGTAAGGAAAGGGGGTCATCAACGTGGTGTGAGAGAACGGGAAGCTTCCCAGTGTCCTGAGTTTTATCCCAACAGGAGTAGAAGCACAAAACACCTCACCCAGGAAGCTACCAGGCCAATAAGCAAACGACGAACGGAGCATTCTGCTCCTGCAGGCTGCTGTTCCATCTGATGTGGTGGTTCATCCCAAACATTTAACACTTGTTTTCAAAATGCACAAAGGAAATAATTCTACAGCAGCCACACAAAGGCACGAGGTGACTGTTTCTTCCTCCAGACGCAGTCTCAAGTGCAAGATGTAAATCTACACGAATCTTGAATACGATCCGACCTTGTTAACTGCCAGTAACCGTAAGGTACAGTGTTGTGAAGGCCATCACTCTGCTAAATTCAACTCTGGAGATTTTTAAATGTAAACACGGTCTTGGTGTTGCCACTGGAAATACAGAGCTCTAGAGGGCGTGGGAGCGACTTGCAAGAAGCCCTTAACTCAGAAAAACTTGACTTCACACCTCTGCCTCCGACTAAAAGCAGTGACCTTCACTACATCTGTCTGAGGCACTCGTATATCATAGCAAAACCACTGAACTAGCAGAGGAAGAGGCACCCGTCCATCCTGGCCACCAGTGAGCTACAGGCAAGTAACTACAGGATTTAGTAAGACAGAGATTTAAGACTCAAAGGTCAAGAAGACCTGGTGCTGCACCAGTCTCTGGGTCAGCTGAAGTCACCAACGAACTGCTAGGTGTAGAACCACAATTCAATACCGAAATTACAGCCCAGCTGGCAAAGAATTTTTCTAATGTGTCTCCTCATAATCTAGGATGGTTTCTACTGACGCCATCAGGGTTACTCAACAACAGTCATGTTGGGAATTCGAGAGCAGTTGGTAGTGACTCTTGCTACTCATTGGCATCTCTGCTGAAAGGCTAAGTCATCTCCAGCCCACCAAACTGCTAAAAGGTGACAAATATGACATGGCCAAAGGCACGGGGGGGACACAGAGACTTTTGTCTGTCCCGTCACACTTCCACCCTTTTCTGTTAAGGGGACGAGACACCTCCAAGAGCTCCTGGATGAAAAAGGTCCCAAATAAAACCCACACATTGCAAGGGATTTGACTTGAAATCCGTTCCAAGTTCTCTTCCTTAACTCCCTTTGGTTTTTAAAGGGAACAGGTGGGAGGGAGGAATCTTGGTTTGGCCAGGCCCCACGCTCACTCCTACCGACACCACCTCGGTTGGTGTTTCAGAGAGTTGCCTGAGCAGCAAACGCCGTTTCTCGACAAGTCAAACAGGACCTCGACCACGCAAAGACAATACTGTTGTGATGAGACGAAGCTGCTGAACGTTCACTGGCAGTCATGAAAAAGCAGCCTTCTGACCCACAAAAAAAAAGGAGGATGCTACGACAAGAAATGCCTTGGCCCTTCATTACAGCGCAGAAGCTGGTTGGCAGATGCAGTTCTGGTTCCTGCTGGTCATTCAAACCCGGACGACAAACCTTGGCGTGGGCTTTGCCTATTTCACGGACACAGCGACCTGTTTCGAAGCCTCGAGTCAGGTGCTCAGCAGCAGGTGACAAGACAGGTTTCTGAACCGATTCCCCTGTGCTTAGCAGAGCTGAGCGGTTAGCTGCCTTCCACCCTGTCCTGGTTTGGGCTAAATCAGAACTCA